GGGGCGGGGCGGCTCCCGGGGCGGGGCGAGGGGCGGATCCCCGAGGTGGACAGACGAGCAGGAGGGGGAGGGGCGGAGGGGGAGGGGAGAGGAGAGGAGCGGAGGGGGCGGGGCGGCTCCCCGAGGAGTTCAGGGTGAGGGGCGGCAGGTGAGGGGGGGTGGTGGTGGGATTCCGCGGGGGCGGGTGTCCCGCGTACCGAGCCGCGCGCTCGGCCCAGCTTGCTGCGTGGTGCTGCGGCCGAACAGCATTCGCCCCTGAGTAACGGGAGGGGCGCTGTAGCGGCGCTTCCTCGCGGGAAGGGGCTCGGGACTCGCTCCACGCGTTTGCCTCCGCGGGAGTCGTGCTCACACCGCGCGCAGTGCCGCCTCGGGCCGCCCCACACCGAAAGCGCGGCCGCGGGCAGCGCCCCTAAAACTGCGGTTTAACCGAAAGCGCCGCAGACACCGGCCGTTTCCCCTCTGACCGGGGACCACGGAGGCAGGGGCGGGAAGGCGCCCTCCCCGGGCTCAGGGAGCGGAGACCTGAAGCCGCCTCTGCAACGTCGCGGCAGGGAGAGCGCCTCGCCTTCAAGCTCGGAGCGGGTCGGGCCGAAGCCCCGGGTGGAGCCCCTGGGCGCCCGCCGTGGCGGCCTGTCGTGTATTTGTGTCACAGCTTTACCGTCACCGAGACGGGTCTTACTCCTTTGACCGCAAGAACGTACCCGAATAAAGGGACGTGACCAACACGGCCCAGCTTTGTTCTGGGGATGGAGGTCCGGGCTCTTGGCGGCCCGCGGAGCCGGAATGAGGGAGTGGATGCATTTATGCAAGTTCGTTCCAACTTCTGACAAAGCATAGGTCCATCTCCCCCTGCCAGAGCAGCAGTGGGTTAGATGTGTAGGTTTAAAGCACCCCAGTTCCTGGGGCATGTTTCTCCTTCATGGATCGTTCCTTCATCCTTAGGAAATACACTCCCGGTGGGCCTATTCCCAGTGAACTTCTGCTTTCCGTGAACCTTGGGATCTAATGATTTTGTTAACAAAGAGGAGTTAGACCAAGTAGGAAATGGAGATGCTACCTGGGACTTGACCACGGGGCTGGTGGCCTTTACCTGGAAAATGAACTCATGAAAAGAAAAAGGTCAAGGATTTTAGCTGAATCTAAAAATACCAGCTATACCCAGACATAACTATTCATATGGAAGCAGAATGGACCTAGAGTTACATAAGTTTTCTTATTAAGGGACCTGGGAATAGACACCTGTAATCTGAGCCTGTTTCATCAATTATAAAATGAGGATAATACTATCTTGCCTAGTTGTTACTAGCCTGAGGAATTGTGTAAAGTTCCTGGCCCTTAGTAAATGTTCAGTAAAGGGGTATTTCAAAAGGTTAAGTAACAGAATTGTGTTTCCCATTCTAATCACACAGGACATTTTCTGTTTTCTCACTGAATTCAAAACGTTTCAAGATCTTAGCAACAAACCTGATTACATCTACTAAAACATCCATTTTTCCTTGCCTAAATAACCAAAGGTATAATTGTTGGAGATTCTAATCAATGTAAATTAACCAGTGTTACCACTTCTGAGTTGGTAAAACCCAAAGCAAATCACATTAAGATGACATTTCATTTTGCCAGCATGTATTTTGTGTGTAAATACTTTGTTAGGCTTTTTGAAATATTGGAAATAGAGTAAGAATCCCCATTTCTGACCCTGTTCCACAGAGATCCTGGGCACCTGGCTCAAATGAGCACAGTCGTGCTCAAGTTCAGTGTCAGCATACACAGACATCCACTTTGGTAAGAGGAGGGAGCAGGCACACAGGCCAGCGAGGAGCAGCAGCCCTGAAAGAGGCACGAGCTGGTCCACGTTTGTCCAGTACCACATCCCTCCCCCAGCTCCGTTCGTGAACCTAGGGTATGTTGTGTGGAAAGAGAAGCTATAGAAAGGCAAGACATTAGATATCGGAGGTCAAAAGAAGAAGGTAAAAATGAAATTAAAATGTTCTCATGCATTATTCATGAATACAGTTAATCCTTCCTATTTCTAAGGACCAGTTTGAAATACCAGATTATGTAACATGTACTTGGGGGTACAAAAGTGAATATTTACTTAGACTAGAAAAAATTCAAATGCTAAAATAAAGTTGACAAATTCCACAAACATTACCAAATCCAAAAAACAATCACATATGTTAATTAGCTTCCTGCATAGTATTTTTATTAATTAGCTTACTAAAATACCTCTATAATACTTTACCCCCATGTGTTTTGGCTGCATACCCTTTTTTTTCTTTAAATGGATTAGTGACTGCACACTCTCGATCATCTCTTTAGAATGATTTTTTAAAACAGCTTTATTGAGATATAATTCATACACCATCCAATCCACCCTTTTAAAGTGTACAAGTCAATGGTTTTTCATAGACTCACAGAGTTGTGTAACCATCCCCATGGTCAATTTTACAACATTTTATTACCCCAAAAAGACACCTTCTACTCTTAGCAGTCACTCATTTTCCTCCCATCACCTCAGCCCTTGGGAACCACTAATCTACTTTCTGTCTAGGGGGATTTGCCTGTTCCAGACATTTTATATAAATGGAATCATGCAACATGTGGTCTTTTAATGACTGGCTTCTTTCACTTGGCGTAATATTTTCAGTGCTCATCCATGTTGTAGCATGATTCAGAACTTCATTCCTTTTTGTTGCCAAATAATATTCCACCATAGGGATAGGCCACATTTTATTGATCTATTCCACTTTTTGGCTTTTATGAATAATGTTGCTGTAATTGTTTGTGTACAGGTCTTTGTGTGGATTTTACATTTTCATTTCTCTTGAGTAAATATCTAAAGTAGAATCTGGGTCACATGCAGCCTCCCACTCTATGAGAAAATGCTCTGCCATTAAAATAATTGCTGAAGCTAGTGGGGAAAAGTCCCTATTTCCCTCAAAAAACAAATCACTTTTTCAGAATTATTTAACAAATGAAAAGGAATTGTTTCCAAAACAGTGTTGTATTGAAGGGGGATTCCATACAAAATATTTCTTTGCTGAAATAAGCATTTCACTTGTAATATTTTTTTCCAGAGTAGAAATTACCTATGGGAATTACCAGTGCCTGTGTGTGTTCAAGTTATGAAAGTACTCTGGCATTTCTCCATGAAGGCAGCACAGCATAGTAACACCACTGCTCTGCTCTCAGTGACAAGGAGACCAACGAAGCCATTACTTGACCCGGAGTCAGGAGACCAGTAGGTCCCAGCTCCACCACTGTCTAACATGGGATGCAGCCTTCTTGTTCCTAAGCCTCCATTTCCTTGTCTATGAATAGGAAAGATTGACTTTCCCACTTGGAGAATTCCAGAATTCTGGGATTTAAAGAGCTTTAATTAAAGGCATTTATTATTTTCATGATCCTCACAGTCTTTCTGGCAAGACTTTAGTGACAATGGCAAATCCCAGAAGCTGAATCTCTAAATGTTCTGAATTGTGAACTTCAAGAAATTTCCACCAGCAGCATTCTCCAGAGAGCAGAGACCTTATTCACACCCTGTTCATTTACTTACTCTTGTCTCCAGTACAGGACACATTGCCAGCCACAGAGGTGGTGCTCAGCAAATGTTCACTGGGCGCAGAAATGAATGAATCCTCTCTCTCTTAATTTGTATGAATTCTCTCTGTCTTGGGAGAGAATAGCATGTGGTTTAAGAATTCCTTTGATTTCAGTGGCTCTAAAATGTTGATAAACATTGTCAACAAGGTAGGTAGAAGGACCTCAGAGAATTCTTGTCACAAAATACATGCATTATGAACTCTTATGTTTAAGAATTTCTATAAATTTTAGTGTTTCTGAAAGGAGAGAAATCTATCAGGTCTCTCCCTATGTCCCATTACAGACTCTCCTTTGGGACAGAACTGCTCAATTACCTGCAAAGGAGGCAAGCGCCTGGGGCTGAGCTCTGACAGCGGCTCTGTTACTTCACTTTGAAGCTCTGTGAGCCCAGCTCTTTCTGTCTACTGAGTCATATAACTCCACACTCAGGAGCCCTGGAGAAAAAGATTTTTTTTCCCTTCAAGATCAGCTTTATTGACGTATAATTTACATACTGTAAAACTCACCAATTATGTTGTGATATTGTTACGTACAATAAAAAATGTGTATTTGGTCTCTGTCCCCATTCCTGACACAGAGCTCCTAAAACCCTCAGAACTTCCTAAGCAATGAGAGCATAAAAGTGGTTTTTGTTATGCTAAGGAGGTGACTTTGGGGGTCTCCCCAACCTGAGGATGGGAGCTGGTTGCCAGAACCAACCATGTGATTAGAGGGTTGGGACTTTGAGTCCTACCCCAGAGGAAAGGAGAGAGGGGCTGGAGGATGAATCCATTCCAAAGGCCAATGATTTAGTCTACTATGCCTGTGTAATGAAGCCTCCATAAAAACCCGAAAGGATGAGGTCCAGAGAGCTTCCAGGCTGGCGAACACGCTGACCCTTGTGGGGAGCCGTGCCCCTGAGAAGGTGTGAGGGCTCCTGACTTCTCCACAGACCTTGGCAGTTGCATCTCCTCCAGCTGGCTGTTCCTGAGTTATATCCTTTTCTAATAACCATGATCTAGTAAGAAAATGTTTCCCAGAGTCCTGTGAGCTGCTCTAGCCAATTAATTGAGCTCAAGGAGGGGGTTGTGGGAACCTCCAATCTATAGCTGATCAGTCAGAGGCCCAGGTGACAACCTGGCAGGACGGGGGGCTCAGT